TATACRTATATGAACTCACAGTTTCCAGAGCTTAAAAATGCAACATCTGAAGCACATCAAGCATTACAGAAGATAAATGAGCTTTATGATGACAAGCTATCTAGACTGAAGCACAAAGAGGAGAAAAGATGAGAATCAACGAAAAGAGCCTCAGTGACTGATAGGATAATGTCAAGTGATGTAATACATAGGTAATAAGTAGAGGGCAGTAGAAGGAAAAAATACATCTGAAGAAATAAAAGTCTAAATGTTTCTGAATTTGATGAAAACTATAAACTTGAAGGACCAAAAATGTTAATGAACCCCAAACAATTTAGGAAAGAACAAATACATAGAAACACATCACAATCAAATTGCTGACAACCATTAAAACGAGATATTCTTACATGCAGTTGGAGGAAAAGGAAACATCACACAAGACGACTGTGGAGACTCATCAGAACACGGCAAGTCAGAAAAAAACAGAATGACATCTTCAGTGTCTTGAAAGTAAAGTGAAGCAAAACTGTCCAAATAGAATTCCATATCCAGAAAAAAAGTTATTAAAGAACAAAAGACAAATTGAGACATTGTCAGACAAACAAAAACTAAGGGAACTCTTCACTAGTATACCTGCCCTACAAGAAACATTAGAGGCGTTTTTAGATAAATAAATAAATAAATAAGAAAAATATAAAGAAACAATTCTAACCAAAAAAAAAAAATAATAATAATAATAATAATGTTACAAGAAGGGAAGGAGGGCCTACCCCAAAACAAAAGAGGGTCGGAATGGCTAATATATTGATACCTGCAAAATAATTTTGTTCTCTCATTTTAAAAAAGTTGTTAAAGATAATTAAATTTTTAAAACAGTAACAGTAAAAATGTATTCAGAGTCACATAACGTGAAAATAAATTAGGGACAAAAACAGAACAAAGGATATGATGAATGAAAGAATACTGTTATGTGATTATTATATCATATAGAAGAAACAATACAATTAATGACAGACTGTGATTAAGAAGCATATTGTAAACACTAAAGCAATCACTTATAAAACAGGTATAGCTAATAATGTGAATCAGAAAACTAAATTAGTCAATTAATTCAAAAGAGGGTAGAAAAAGGTGAGGGGGGAAGACCTAGATGGACCGATGAAAACCCAAAACAAGATGGGAGATTTAAACACAACCTTATCAATAATACATTAAATGTTGAATAACAACTACAACAGAGGACATAAGAGAGTACATATCATATTGTTATATTTATATGAAGTTYTGGAATAGTAAAATTAATAAAAAGGATTAATGATTGCCTGGAGCCAAGAGTGTTAGCTGGAAAAAGGCCTGAGTAATCTGTGGTGGTTACATGGATATATATATTTGGTATTTAAATGGTGTGTTTTAATGTATGTAACTTATACTTCAGTAAATTTCTTTAAAATGTTAAAAAATCTACAGTGACAAAACAGATCTGAACCCAAGAGCTCTGACCACAAGTACTTACATTTTTACTGACTTGTCATACAACTTCTTGYAAGGCCTGAAAGATGAGATTCCATCTATCTATTCCATCTAACTTTCTACTACATGGTGTTGTAACATTTTTTTAAGATGCTCAGTTTTTAGATTTAAATATCTTGGAATAAAATATTAAGTGCTTAGAAATTATCAATAAAAGCCTAAGACCTATTTAATGACAAATAACTAAAGAGATTCCTACGTAGGAAGTCAATATGGTAAAGATTGTCCTTTCCTCAATTTAATATGAACATATAATACCAATCAAAATTCCAATGAGAGTTCTGGGGAGAAAGGTAAGATGCTTATAAAATCAATTTGAAATTTCATCTGAAAGATTAAAAGGGAAAGAATGGTCAAAAGGTTTTGAAAAACCAAAAAAAAAAAAAAAAGGCGTAATAAGGGGGTATCTTGTCTATCATATCACAACTTCTGAGACTTAGTAATTGGAACAATAGATAAATAAAACTATGAATCATAAAACAGAAACATGTAGACATGTAAATTTATCATATAATGTTATATTGTATTAAAATGAGTTGCAGAATGATACATTCTTTAATAAATTATACTTAAATAATTGAACACTAGTTTTTTTGTTGTTGTTGTTAMAAAACTAAATTAGGCCCCTACCTGTCATTATACAGGAAAATAAATTCCAGCAAGAAAAAAGATTTAAACAAAACAAAACCATAAAAATACTGAAAGAAAATGGGAAGAACCAATGTGTATAAACTTGAAGGGGTTTCTCCAAAGGGACAGAAAACTCAGAGGCTGTTATGGAAAAGAATAAGACATAACTATACACAAATTTAAAACTGTGCATGGCAAATAACTCTTTAAAATGTTAAAATCCAAGAGCAAACTGTTAATAATATTTACAAATTATACAACAAACTTAAGATTAACATACTTGACATATAAAGAGATCCTATAAATGAAACCAAAACTTTAATGCCTTCTTGGTAAGCAAATTAAAATAGAAATATCCTTTTATTTTGCAATTACATTTCCAGAAACATCCAATGTACTATCTCTCTCTCTCTCTCTCTCTCTCTCTCTCTCTCTCTCTCTCTCTCTCTCACACACACACACACACACACACACACACACACAATCTCTTTTGTATCTCCAAAGGCTTTTATTCAATAGTTTGTATAATAAGAACAAAAGTGAAAAAAAAAAGTTGTTGGTGTGCACATTAACAGAGGATTAAATACTAAATAATATTGATGTAAGAGTATGCCATGTAGCTATTAAAAAGAAAGAATATCTTTTGGTACTGGTACAACATGGTATCTGTATATCACACTCTTATTTTTATTATAAAGTTTTATTAAAAATTACACCAAAGTGTCTTACCTGACTCTATCATGACCACTGTTCAATTAACAGAAAAAAAGATTAAAGCAAGRAAAGATACCTTAAGTATGTCATGTACATTTTAAAAATATGTATATCTAATTCTCCAGTCTTTCAATATAAAACCTAGGAAATGATGGGGAATGAGATAGACATTATTACCCTAAGGACATGCATGAAGACACAAATGGTGTGAAAATACTTTGTGTACAATCGGTGACTTAAAAATTGTGTTCTACATGTGTAATATGAAATGAACTGTATTCTACCATTATGTATAACAAATTATAATAAATAAATAATTTAATTTAAGAATACAATTAGCCAATAAAGATAGTAAAGAAGGCCCCAGTTCATTATTAATTTTAAATGCAAATTAAAACAATAAATTTACCAATAAAATTGGCAAGTATAAACATTAAAAAAAGAGACAGATTTTAATTACAGTTCCTCTTGTCCTTTCTGATTAAACCACATCCTTAAAATACTTTGAAGATTTCTGGTTTCAGTTTCTTTAAGTGGAGTAGGGAGATAAAAACATTTGCCAAGCCATCAGGCTCACACTCTTATCCAGATTTATATTTTCCCCTAATCTTTTATTATTGTCTTTCTTGCCTACTTCTAATTGGTTGCAGTTTGTTTTTGTCATCTCTCCTTAATAAATATTTTTCAAAGCATTAGACTCAGTTCATCAGAAACAATAATTCCCTTTCATACTCTCATTTTGGTTTACATATTTCATTAAACTGAAAAAGTGTAACAAAACAAGTATAACAAAAATTTTGGAGAAACAAGCAAGATTTACTCTTGACAAACATAAAACTAAATAATCTCTAAATGTAAATTAACATTTAGGTCAATTAATTCATCTTTTATGAAATTTTTCATGAATTTAACAAGAGTCAATTAAACCACATATCAATTCTCTATTAACTGATATTATCAACTTTCTAGACCTGTACTCTCCAACATGCTAGCCACTAGCCATATGTGGCCATGGAAATGTGGCTAGTCTGAATTGAGGTGTGTTGCAATGTAAAACACATACCAGATTTCAAAAACTTCATAAGAAAAATAGAATGCAAAATATTGTGTTAATAATTTTCATACCGATTATTTGTTGAAATAATATTTTGGAAATACTGGATTAAATTAAATATGTTGTGAATATTAGTTTCACTTGTTTCTTATAATTTTTTAGGTTACTAGACTTAAGTGACAAATGCTTCCCTTGTTCTCTTTCTTTTGGGGAACACTGTTCTGGACTTGTAGACATCCTTTGCAATGATGATAGCAGTATCTGTGAAGTTCAACTTGAGACAATGAATCAGAGTCTCTCTTTGGGCATTTGTTACCTGAATCAAAGACATACTGGAGTAACAATTTATACATCTCCCTAATTACACATGTGATTCTAACATAAGGGATTTATAAACTTGATCTGCTACCTCTTTTGGTRTGAGCTATAAAGTAAGAACAGTTTTCACATTTTTAAATGTTTGTAAAAAAAACTATAAGTATTTTTTGATTTGTAAAAATTATATGAAATTTAAACTTCAGTTCCCGTAAAGTTTTCCTGGCACACAGTCACACTCATTTGTTAATGTATTATCCATGACTGCTTGGTGCTAGTAATGCATAACTGAGTGGCTGCAACAGAGACCACATTGCCTGAAAAGTGTACAGCACTTACTATCAGACCTTCACTGGAAAAGTTTGCTGACCACTGCTCTATATCATCCCTTACAGCTCTTAGGGCATAGTTATTTGCCAGTTGCAACTACAGGAAATCAAGAGAAGGAAATGCTATGTCTCAATTCTCATCTTTACTAGAGACTAGTTTAGCTTTTCAGCTTCTTAACTTGCTTCTGCCRTATGTTCTTGAATCAAAAAAGTGTCCAGAACCACAACTTCTGGGACAATTTTTACACAGACAGTACACAAAAAAGCTCAGAGAATTGTGCATCCAATAGTTAAAAATGTCAATCTTTGCTTTCATAGTCACCCATGTTCTATCTCTGAGATCAATATTACTTCTAAAGGGCTTGGGTACTGAGTGCCCGGTGGGTATCCAGCTTACAGGTACCATCTTCAGTGTCATGTTCCTCAGTCCATGGTTCTCAGGGACCTACCTCAGTAGAGCCTGTGAATGCAATCTTGTCTATGCCAATGTGAGAAGCTATTGCTGCCCCAGCTGTTGGCCCATATCCTGGCACAATATTGATGACTCCAGGTGGAAAGCCGGCCTAAGAAAACAGAAGTGGAGGAAATGTGTTTTGTGAAGGTCCACACAACCACATTAGATGGAGCATGCTCTACAGACTCTGTAAAGGGAGTCAGAACCACTCCTGAAGTCAGCTTCCCCTACCTCTTTGATGAGTGCTCCCATGTAGAGTGCGCTGAGAGGCGTTTGCTCTGCTGGCTTAATCACTACTGTATTGCCACAGCACAGAGCTGGGGCAATTTTCCAGGCAAACATTAGCAGGGGGAAGTTCCACTGAAAGGGAAAACTCAAGGTTGATAAATGGAAAAATATTTCTCTACCACTTCGTTTCTAAGCTGTGACTTCTTGGATTTTTCTTAAACTAGTCCTCATCATAAATCTTGTCTCCACAAAGCATAGATGTTTGGATTTTAAAAGACTTCATTAAGAATAGAATAGCAATGACCTTGAAAATCTCTTTTTTTCTCTCTATACAACAAATTACTTTACTCAACTACCCACCAAAAGAAACCTCATGATTGAAAGGAAGTTTTTGTTTTTTTACTGCTGTTGTTTCATATGTTCTTAAAATTAGGCCTTGCGGTAGGGAATGCTATCAATGGTAGAATATATGCTTAGCATGCATGAGGCCCTGGGTTTGATACCCAGCACAATAACAACAACAACAGCAATAGCTTTGTTTCCAATAAGTTCTTGTGTTTGAGACTTTCTCTTGAATATAGGATTTTTACAGCAGAATTTGCACATTAATGTGAAATCTATTCAATATAGAAGCACTAAAAAAGAAAATTTCTAGCCAGATAGGGTGGTGCACACCTGTAATCCCAACAGCTTGGGAGGCTGAGGCAGGAGAATTCCAAGTTCAAAACCAGCCTCAGCAATTTAGCAAGGCCTTAGGCTACTTAGTGAGATCCTGTCTCAAAATAAAAAATAAAAATGGGCTGGGGATGTGGCTCAGTGGTTAAGTGTCTCTGGGTTCAATCTCTGGTACTACCTGCCCCCCTGCACCGAAAAAAAAAAAATTCTAGCGATAAATTAAATTTTTAAGTCAATGGTACTTCAAGATAGCAGTTTTTCTTAAACCCATTATCATAAAACACATATGACTACAAAAAAATAAAGTATATCTCCTGATGAGTATGCAAAAATTTTCATCTATCTCCTTTCCACAGCAAAATAATCCAATGATAAAAAATATATTCATGGGAGTATATGAATTTGGGGCCTAAAATGGTTGAAACTGATTTTAATAGGACATCTAGTTTGTTTCAACATAAGTTCAGGCATGAGATTCATTACTATCAGGTGTCATTGATAATTTCATTAAGAAAGAAAGCAGAATTCCGAGTCCCCTGGCTGCAGCGTCTGACCACACTGTGTTTCTGCCTGAAGCCTCTCAGCTGCCATCCTTGAAGAATTCTCACTGGCTCTGGCAAGCCTGCAAAAATATACAAGTGTCTTGCCTTCACCAAACACCCAATTTCTTTTCCCCTTAGTTGTTTATAAACTTGGGAGTCCTCCGTGATGTTTTAATTCCATCTACAGTATATAAATCTTGGAGAGCAGTAATTGAGCTGGAGCTGGCTGACAAACAACTCTTGTCCTGTCAGAGAAGCTGTAGCTCTGAGAGCCTGGGGAAGGGCAAGGGGAGCAGGTTTGAATCCTGCAGTGAAGGTGACAGAACCACCCCTGAGCTATCTAAGCAGGAGTCCCCTGGGGTAGGAGTCAAAGAACTTCCACCAAACTTCTCATTTTCCCTTCTCAATCTCTAATAAATCTCATAGTTACCCAAAACTTATTGGTCATTTGAACAAATAGCAATCACTCTCCCAAATCTCTGACTCCCAAAATCAAGATTATTTTATTATGTCTTAAATTTGGAGAAGAGAAAACTTGTCTATCTTGTAAGAGTTTAATTGATTCTTCCCTTGAAATCTTGGCCAGAACTATTAGCTAGTATTGTTAAAAGATTCACTGATGTTTTTTATTGTGCCAAGGGTGTGTATGAGAAAGAGAGAGAGAGCAAAGGACAGTGTTTAATGTTCCAATCCAAACACTAAGCACTACATCTATATCCCTTTACAAGACAGACAACAGCCCGGCATGGTTTCAATTATAATCATGACGTTAACTGTACTGCTGTGTCTTCTGTAGCGTCTCCTATCTAGATTCTTGTGAAAAGAGACAGTGGGAAAGAATGGGATTAAAAAACTATATAAATACTATGCCTGGAAACATGGGGAGTCACAGTTCTAAAAAATAAACAAGCAAATATAACAAAGCATTACTTTTCCATAAGCAGAATGGACATCCACAACCAAGGGCAAGTTATTAATACACTGTGCTTTGCTTTGCTTATTTTAATCATGAGAATTCTATGACTTGAGAACTCAACTCCTGGTAACAGAGCTGAAACTCTATTAACCTGTTCAAATAAGCATTTGCAGGGAGGCTGTTGAAGATATGTCAACAACATGAGCTCAGTTTCTTCTTCCCAGTAATGGAAAACACACATCGCTGAGGACCATGTTTTATGTGTCTTTAAAAGAACTGGGTCAAATGAAAATAAATACAAGGTGCGAGGAGATACACTCACTGGGATGATCTGTCCACACACTCCAATGGGTTCATGTCTTGTAAAGGTAAAATAGTCTCCATCTGAAAGAAATAAGCATGACCATGGTCACTCCCAGCAAATTTAGGTTAGGAAAAATAATGCACAGGGAAAACATTGGTGGTAGYAAAAATAAATAAATAAAATGAAACTGGATAAATTTCCAACTTGACCATACACAAAAGCTGGCAGAAAAGCGATCACTTGGTCTGGGTTACCTATGGCTAAGGCTCCCAGACACACAGAGTTGATGAGAGGACCTCTAAGGTAAATGAAGGACAAACTTATGAAACTAGAAGTCTTGGATGGGGCTGGGAAAGTTGTCAATTATTAAAAACTAAATTTTATAGTAAGTATTAAAATAAGACATAGGAACCTTATTTGAAAAACTAGAATAACACAAATGTTTAAGTAATTTCTAAGTATTAAAAATATTAAAGAAAATACTATTGGGCATATTTAAAATGTTGGGCAATGGGACAAAGTAAGGAATAAAGTAAGATATATGCAAAGAAGAACTCCATCAATAACTTAAAGCTTCCATCCTTGAACTAGATGTGAAAATGAACCATAYGGGTTAAAAGCTTGAGAGAAATTTAATAATCTTGTTTTTCTTACAGAAGCAATAAACAATTTGGATAATTAGCCAGAAAGACCAAACCAAATTATTCTTTAAGGAAATGTCATGGATTTTATCTAAGTAATATTAAAAGCCTTCTTAAACTAACCAAAGAATGGGTCATTTTTAGCACATGGCTTTCCTTACCAGAACTGGGTAAAGTCTTTGTTTTTCCCCTACTGCCAGCCCTTTGGTCACTTCATTAGAGTTGTTCTCTCTCTCAAAACAGTCCCTCAGGGAAAGTGAAGACACTCAGCTAATATTCAAGACACAACTGTTAGGAATGCAGATGCAGGTGGGGACCGGAGTGTGTGGATTGGGGGACAAGAAAAATCGTGAAGGAGACTGTTTATCATTGTCTCACAATACATTTTAATCACTAATATTTATCACACAGACTTGTTTTAACTAAATTCAAAATTATGCATTTTAAGTATTTACATTAAAGTGTTTCTCCCCACCCCTCTTTTCTTCTGGACCTTTGATCTCTATCCTTTCCCAGATTAACTGTTGTTACTGGTGCATCTTTTCAAAGAGCCTTTTTCACWTACAAGTGTGTATCTTATCCTTTTGTCACTTCTCTCTTCCTTTTTCTAAAATACTAATGGGATTATGTTATTCACCGTATTTTATATTTTATTTTTCCTATAAAGCTAACACATCTTTTTAATAGCTAAATGCTATTTTATTGTCTGAATAAATAATAATATTACTAAGAATTCTCCTGAGGGACAGAGAGAGTTCAAGCTGTTATATAATGCTGCAAAGCCTATTGTTTTATATATCTTTGTGTATCTGTGAAACTTTTAAAATCAAAGTGTACGTGCATTTTATATATTTTCATAAATATTTGCCAAATTCCCCTTCAAAAAAGTTAAAACAATTTGCAATTTTAATAACATGCTATACTTTCTACTTTTTAACACCAGACTTTTTAAAACACTTTGATGTCAGACAATCTGGTACCTGGGGAAATGACAAATTGTTTTTATTTGTGTATAATGATGTATGAGTGTGAGCACCTTTCATGTTTACTGGCCATTTTCAATTGTTCCTTCAGCTTAATCTTCATTTGCCATTTTTCTATCGRGGTTTTCATCTTTTTAGTCATTTTAAGAGCTCTACTGATATTAAGGAAATTAGTTCTCTCTCATATTAGGGCAAAGCTTTTCTGCTCATCTTTTGACTTTGTTTTATGGATATTACTTTAAATTGAAGAAATGAGGARGTTGGCAGGTTCAGCAACTGTAGAGAATTTTTTAAAAATGTGTCACCATTTCAACAAAAAGTAGCCAATATGTGGAAACTATCCATAGGATGATAATAAGAAGTCTGAGTAATATTTTTAAAATCTAATTAACTATATCTGCTCTGTATGCAGAGAACTCATGGATCCTCTGAAAAGATTCCATTTTTTACAACAGTACAGGTTATTTATTACCTTCTTTCAAYTTATGAATCTCTGGAAAGGGTTTTCTGAGGAAAAATAGGCTAAAGATGCTTGAACTCTTCCCTAAAGAGTACTGAGTAGAAAGAATAAAGGAAGGGCTCTAGAACTTCTGAATTCAGTCTGTATCCTCATCTGGACAACGAAAGATGACACCTCTCATCCTACTTGTAGTTCCTGCCAAACTTGCAAACTATGCTTTCAGGATAGTCCCAGCWGGGGCTGTGGCATACAGAAGTCATTCATAGCTACCATGACCTTGCTGTGAATTCCACTGAACCTTGAGATCAGGGTTACCTGTGGCTAGGCCAGTTCCTCAAAAGCCACCTTGACAATTTTGCCACATCCAAGTATTAACTGCTCTACCACTTGCTTAATAATTTCTATTAAATCAATACAACTTTAAAAAATATGTACATGACTACTTGTTAGCCTCACCTATGAAAAACTATGAAATAACAGTTTTTAAGGGATAGCAATATTTTTTCTAATATTCATATATTCTTAAATCCCAATAATGAAAACTAAAAACCTTGACTARTTTACTGTATAGAATTGCCTGGCATGATACTAATGCTATATGGTAAGCTTCATAATGCCTTTGAAACTTAAACATGCACACAAAGCACCTGTGTTGATCTTGTTACATATGATTCTGAATCAACAGCATTGGGGTGAGATATGAGAGTCTGCTTCACTCCATGTAACCAAGTGATGCCAGTGCTGCCAACTACAGACCACACTCCATGTAGGAGACTCAGAGGAATCGAGAGGGAAAGGGCAGTCCATAGGTGTCACAATGACCTGCAGTGGCTTCAGAGTTATCTGAGCTCATTTTCATTCACGTACTTTTGGCCTCTCTGATAACTCTATTACTCTATCTGAAAGGAGTTTAAAGTATAGGAGAATATAAACACTGTTTTTAATACTTTCAAAATGTTCAAATAAGAACAAGGCTACATATTTGTATAGAACCTTATAAAATACATTCACAACTTTATTTCATTTCATACTCAAAAATAACTATGAAAAAATAATGCATCTATCATTATAAATATTTTTTATGTGGTGAAGATATGACAGGGAAGTTAAATTCAAAGTAATATAACTGGTTAAGTTGTGGCTCCTAAACTTGGATCAGGGTCTTTGGACTTCAAAGTTCTTTATCTGCAAAACATATTAATGACTCATTTATGAGGAAAGTTGTGTGGATAACCAGAGACTTAGAGTATAATAGAAAAAATAAATACAAATGGGATATAAAACAAAAGAAACCAGTGACACTCTTTTGTAAAGAAGGGTGAGATGATTCTTTTAGAATATGAACATAAGGAACTCACACAGACTCTGGTATATTAAGTTATAAAGGGAACAACACTACAGAGCCACTTCCCCTTGGATGACTGARTGGGTCCAGGACTGACAGCCTTTCTTCCTTCTATCTAGGCTGAGTCAGTTCAAAGGGGACACAGGGTCAATTCTCCCCACCACCATAGATCATTATGGTTTATATATGAGGTGGCCTCAAAAAATTCATGTGTGGGACAATGCAAGAAATTTCAGAGGTGAACTGACTGGGTTATGAGAGCCTGAACCTAAAAAATTCACTTGCATGGATTAACTGGGTGGTAACTGTGAGCAGGCAGGGTTTGRCTAGAGGAAGTGGGCTGCTCACAGTATTCCTTTGCGGTGTATGTTTTGCTCTGTTGAGCGGAGGTTTCCCTCTGCTTCCTGGTGCCATGTTTCCAGCTGCTTTCCTCCACCACACTCTTCCACCTGTCAGGCACAGAGCAATGGAGTGGGCCATCTATGGACTAAACCTCTAAAACTCTGATGCCCAAACAAATTTTTCCTCCTCTAAAATTGTTCTTGCCAGGTCTTAAGCATTTATATTAAGACATAGCCAGCAAAGACAACTTCTGGGTGTTTCAATAATCAAAGATTAGTTTATAGTTAATGAAGAACATAAAAATCTTAAAATTAAATGCTTCATTATATTACAAATTTGATTGAACTGCGTGGATTAACTTCTACTGAGCATATGTGCACCAAGCTTATAATGGTATAATTCTATTAAGAAAAGTCTCTGACCCTAAAGATGGGTAATATAATAATAATTCTGTATTTATGAAATATTAAGACACCKATCTTATGTTTTTTGACGGGACTTGATTAAATTACACAGGAGTGAGTAATATTTAGTTAAACAGAACAGTTTAATTATTTGGATAATTCCTTTAAGGCAAACATTACTCCTTAAGGCAGATTTTGTAGCTGCTTGAAAAATAATTTCAACACAATTTTATTCTCATAATATCTATCAATGGTACATTCTATATATAAACTACAGAAGAGTACGAATGATTAATCAGTCTGTATAGTCCATAAAGTTAGAAAAATACAGAATGTTCCAGAAATTGAGGAGAAATGTATTAGTCATGAACTAATACATTAGTTCCCAATCATAATAGTAAAAGCATTTCAGAATTGTAGTAAATTACATATAACTAGTAACAATAAAAATGAGTTTATTCAATAGCACAAAAATCTGTAACATAATTTAGTAAATGGAAGGTAATATTCCCATCTCTAAACTTCATACAGAATTACCTTTTGAGGAGCTAGTAAGCCTTTTGGTGATTCAAGTATTAAAAAATTAGACCAATTACACAAAATTATCCCAACATTTACCTTAGCATACTTCTATGCATGTTAAGGTGGCACAGATCTTTCTGAACATTTTACAGCTACAGTGACAAACTTATGCCTATACAGACAGTGAAAATTTACATTAGCATAAAGTGGTACTAAACACTGTTCTCAGCTGTTTGCTGGAAGAGTCGAAGAAGTTAGGTTCCTGAGCCTGTCATGAAGGTATCTTAGCTCCACCAATATGGTCTTAGGAAAAAAGTCAGTTTACTTCTCTGGACTTGGCTTCTCTGTCTATAAAATGAGAAGAGTGGCTTTAGGAATCCCTGAAGCCCTTCAYAGCCTTAGTCTTTCAAAGAAACTGAAGCTGATTTCATGATTTCCTGTCATCACCAATTCACCAATTTGGTTCTTCTTCGGTGGGCAGAGAAGACAGTCCCTCACTCTCAGTCTAACTGAACAAGAGTTCAACAGATGCATTCATTGTTAACAGGACTAAATCAGACCAAGAATCTAAGTCACTATCTGTGTGAAATTTTAGCCMATTCTTAGCCCATTCTATCAGGTAAAACTGGAAAAAGACTATTATATTTGACATGGTAGATTTTAACCTTTTATATGTGCAAATATATCATAAGGCCATTTTAATGTCAGAATTCAGCTTAAAGTATGGGTTACATTTTCTTACATACCATAAAATCAATAAAATTAATGGCACTCATTACTCAGAAAAATCTAAGATAATATAAGTCCATTAACTTTTATTTCTCCCTCAGTAAACTGAAAACAAGCTTTGATTCTTCCTCCATCACAAGGAGATTGTGAACAGAAGAGCACAAGATTATGATATGGGTTGAAAATAATCAAAATGGGAAAAATAATAAGTCTTCATCGGGCTGCTACAAGATTAGATATAATAAATGAGCACAAAAAAGTGCTTAATAAATCATAGCAATGATTATTATTTCTCATTATAATTAGGAGTTGTCATAGTAGAAGGTCTTAGTAAAGCATAGCTTTATGGACAGAGAGAATGGCTCTGTTGGGTACTATTGTAGGAAACAATAGATCACATTATAAAGGGAACAACATCAAGACTCTTGTGAATCAAACTGATATTGCATAATTCTGCAATAGCTTCTTAATTGTGAGCTGTGGGTGGGGTAAAACAGAGAGTGGTGGGAGAAGCTTCCAGTTCAAATAAGGAAACAGCTGTCTGGTTAATGGCTCAGAAGTGATAATCCTTTTCTCCTCTTGCCAGATATTCTAGTAGCAGGCTACCCTTCAGGGGGACAAAGCAAGCAGATACCTATTCTCTACAAGATTACCCACTTGCAGTCAAAGTGTTCTTTCTAAAATGTAATTCTGATCCAAGCACTTACCTATTTAAATAATTCAGTGTCTGACCATTGTCTACAGAATAAAACCTGTAGCCCAGTTGACTCAGGTCCAGAACCTTACGTCTTCTATATCTGACTATACTTTTAGACCCACCAGCACACAGTACTCTCCTCCTTTCATGCTTTGCACAGGCCATTACTGCTGCCTGATGCTTCTACTTCCAGCTTCTTTTTAACTTGCCCTCCAGGTATCATCTTGTATACAGCAACTTCTCCAGGAAGCCTTAATAATAGGTGATATATCTCCCCTATGGAGTCTCTTTGAACTTTGTGCTTCTATATCTGAATAGRCCACACTGAACTATAATTGCTTGTCTGCTTGTTTATTTTCCTTACTATTCTATGAACATCTTACTCATCTTTGCACCTTCACTGCCTTGCACAGGACTTGAAACACAGCAGGTGCTCAAAATTTTGTTGAATAAAGGAATATATGAACAAATTAGTGAATTAATGAGAGGCTGAAGTTGATGGGTAGTAGAGGAGGTAAAAGAAACAATCTTCCTATTACATGGTACAGGACTCCAGCCTCCCTAAATAAGGAGTGAAATAGACAATAACAATTCTTGCCACTGTTTGACTCCTTTAGTATCAGAGGTGCTGAGATGGATGAACTGTGGAGTGTGAGTCAATGTATCCATGTAGCAAAGTAAAGTAGTCTTAGATTTAATTTTTTAAAAAATTTTTTCAGGTTATTTTTATGGGTGAAAAAAAATGTGTTATCATCACTGACACTTTATGAAAGCCTCTTTCGTGCATCTGACAGGCAGGGAGATCCACAACCTTTATTTAATGTTCCAGAATATCTGAAATTCAGAAGGGCTATCTTGAGAAAACTAGGCTCTAGATACAGTTGATTACCATTTTTTTGTGTGTGTGGGGATTCCATATTTGAGAACTTGCTTACTTGTTAAAATTCATCTACAACCCACAAATCAGCACTTGCAGCACTTTCAGTTGTTTACAGGTATGTACATGCAAAACAAACAAAAAAATGCAAGGCCAAAGGCACACTCTCAGTTGAAGTTAACGAAGTGACACTGTATTATTGCTTTAGCTCTCATACTATGAAAATGGTGTCTTTTTGTGATCTATTTTGTGCCAACTTCTCATATTTTTTACTTCTTCTTCTTTCCTAAGTGCAAGAAGGCTGTAATGTATCTTAAGGAGAAAATACATGTATTAGAACAGCTTCATTCAGGCTTGGGTTACAGAGCTGCTGGCTGGTTGGCCTTGAATTCAAAATTCATAAATCAATAATATATATTAAATAAAGGGCCTTTCAACAGAAACACATAAAATAAGGTCATATTCTGAATGATTGACAAAATGTTCTGACTAGAACCTACTCCTGTATTTCCCCTAAGAACAGTAGTTCAATATCTGCTATTTCAGTGTCCATGGCAACTTCATAAAACAAACTAAAATGAATGACAGAATGAAAATGAGAAAAAACTATGTTAATCTAAAAGTTGGCAAAGGTTTAAAGACCTTACAAATCATCTCTTCACCCTCCTACCCTACTAAATTAATCTCCATTAGGCTTACAATAGATTAGGCAGAAAGAGACTTGGGTTTGAATTTCAGACTTGCTGCTTATTGGTCAGGTAAACTTGTTTAAAAAACTAAACCCTTACTGTCTCATTTTCTCACCTGTAAAATGGGCATAATATCTTTCTAAATCCAGCCTGTTTCAAAGGATCACAGAGTCATTAGGTCCTATATGTAAAAGAATACTTTATACTTTCAAGTGCCATGCAAATAAAGTACTTTATTACTCTGTTATAATTCCAAATATAAAATTATTATGTTTTGCAGAGAAACGTATGTAAGGCAATAAAGGCATCATGGTTAAAGTTAATAGCCTTCCTATATACCAGATTTCACTGGGGAAAAAGTGACCAAAAGACAAAATCAAGCTCATGCTAAATTATGGACCCACTGAACAAATATCAAAATAAGCATGTGAATAATTATGAGGTCCTCTAACTTAACCTTCCCATGTGATGACCCTCCTGCTTTAGTTCAGTTAGACTCACAAAGCACTGGTGAGTCCTCATATCTCTTTCAGTACACCCTTTTTCTTCTTCCATCCAGTAGTGAAAATGAATTCTCTGGTGAAGTAAGAGCTAGGGCTCTAATGTCAAAATTTCAGCTGTAAAATTCATTTGCTCATGAAGTAGGAAAGCTGTTGAACATCTTTAAGCTTCTGTTTCCTCCTMTGTAAACTAAGGATGCTGATGATTGTGGTTTGCTCTTACAATTGTTGTGGATTTTCCCTACACTTATGTGTARACTATCCATATAAAGAAAGAGGGACACTGTCAAAATTATTGACAGAATTATTTGGCTCTCTGCTTAGTTCTAGCTACTAGAAGTGACTCATATCTGTATTATATGTGGCTGCTGTTTGTGTCTGATGATGAAAGTTGTTTTTGTTGGAGCCTCACATTTTCATTTTCAACATACTCAGATTTTCACATACCTACAGGAATGGTCATTCCGTGAATTTTATCTGCCCAGCCTGCATAATACCGAAGGGTTTTGATGACACCCTGCAAATCCACATAAAAAGCTTGCAGGAATGGTTTGCCACCATTTAGAGATTCCATAGTCTGTAGGAAAACAAATGAAGAGAAATTAAGTCCCTAGAACTTTCCAACAACATACTAAACTGTTTCTGGAACAAAAGGAAATAAAAGAGAAAGGATGCTAATGAATATAAATGTCAATGTATACCTGTTCAACTCTGGGCTTTCTAATACAGAAATTTCTAGTATTACAAGTCTTGTTGGTTGAATTTCTAGTAAACACCACAAAGWGTACATGTATGTATGTTCTTATATCTTTGTGTTTTCAGTAACCCCTATTCAAATACATAAATGCAAATATCTATGATGATAATGAAATGTTCTGCTTATTTAACTAGCTTCTGTTATATTAATGATCAGAGTTGAATGGGGATTTTTTGGAGTCTACAGTAGTAATCTGAGTCCATAAAGAGAAATGGGGTCATGGGGTTTTCATGCAATTGATGAGAATATAAAACGTTCTCCACAGTTGCCAAGACCCCTGCTGAGAAATGGAATATTCACAGAGCACAGCAAGTTTATTTATTACCACCAAATAAACAAGATCTCCTCTAGGGAWACTCAGACTTTAACAACTTAAAGGCTGGTTTTTTTGTAAACATTTGTGTTAACAACTATTATCTATTAAGAGTAAAGTCTCTGGTCCATTTAATAAAAATAGCAATATTAAACAGCTTTACATTATAAACATTATTATTTTAATAACATATTCTTAAACTGATTAAGTCCGTAACAAAAACAACAACAAATTAACACAATGGAATAAAGTTATTTTGAGTTGAGATATACTAAAGGTATTATAAGTTTAAAAAATGAAGTAAACAAAAATATACATTTACAATTTCATGCTTTTCTCCATAAGGACATTTTATAACACATACTGGTATAAAATTATCTGATTACTGACAAAACTAAAAGTGAAATACTCTTCATTCAATAAAATGAAAATACTATTTAGTGCAATTTATCTATTTACTATGTGTACAAGATGAAACTAATTTAAAAATATCATTTTATTTATCACTATGTTCCAGCTCACCTTTATTAAAGAGAACCAAATTATTTCCCAGCACTTTTAGAACATTTATATGTTCTTATRGTGTGTATTACATTCTCCATCTAGTTAACACAGAGTCACGATCTACACAGTTTAGAGTGAGGCAGAGTCAATAATCAGAATGTGAGCCACCTAAATGGTCCCTGTGAGCTGCTGACTCGAGAGTCATCTAAGAATTGCCAGCCCTATGTTACCCTCAATTGTGTTTACTTCAGATGCAGTGTTAACTTCTATTTCTCCCGTTAGGAGCTCCCTTTTGCTTCAGAGGCTATCTCTCACAAAAATTACTTCTCCCACAGCTTGGGAGGATTTATAAGCAGAAATCTCATTTAAGTGTGGTGGGAAAAGAGATCTGGTCTCAGTGAGAGAAGTGGCAGGAAAAGGGAGTTTCAGAATATGAAAAAGTAACTGTAGAAATAAACTATATCATCTTTAGCACATGCTGTCAATCCAATGTTGTAAATATTACATATATGCAATTCAGACAAACATTTATTGGCCATTTATGTACCCTCATTTACCATTTATACACCAGGAACTCTGCAAGGAATACAAAGAAATAAATTATAATTTTGATTCTTAAGGAACTCAAAATCCAGTGAAAAGACAAATATATACATCAGTATTTTCCGAGGGTTCCAAAGAACTCAGTTTTACACAGCATTGGTAAGTTAGCCAGAAAATGTGTGTTGAGACTCAAATTTCAGAAGTACTTAGTGGGCCTTTTCAGAGCATTTAACATGCTCAGTATCTTGTGAATATCCAGGAAACAGCTTCTTCACCATGGATCATCTTTCTCATAAAATGAATAAACAATGTTGAATATTTTAATAGACAAATAAATGTTACATAGCCATAGTCCAAAACCATCTCCAAAAAGGAATAATTTTTGTTTCGATACTCTGAAGAGATCCCTGAGAGTAAAGGAAAGGGCCATTGTAGGAGGGACACATAGGAAGGGTATTAAAGCTTCCCTCACAAGACCCAAGTCCCAACAGCAATCTGTTTTCCCAAGCCAAGGGAAGGATATGGTACTATGGCTTGAAGGCCCTGGACAAGGAGTCCCTAAATATTAATTGATCAACTGTGGGCCATTCAGGGGGAGATCCCTGGCATTTTGTGTACACATTCCTTAGTGTTTCCAGATTCCAAAAGGTTTGCGTTTTCTAAGTTAACTTTTATTTTTAAGAAAATAGCAGCAACAAAACCCACCAGGGAAAAAGCAGCTTCTTATGTGAGGAAAGTGATTATTCTAGTGAACAAAAGCTGCTGTGCCCTACTGTCTTTCCTTTCTCTTGGCTCTAGAAAAATGGAATGGAAAATGGAGCAGAAAGTATGAGAGGTCCTCTGCTTTTGAAGGATTCTCTAGTCAAGGGGGGTTACTGCTAAACGGGTAAAAACTAGTTCTGATTTTCCAAAGAATCATTTGGTATTGGTCTTCTGCAAACAGCCTGGTGACTCTCCTACTGCTTTATGCTTTTTGCTTTGTTTATCAGGGATTGGGATATGTGGAAAAGGAAGATCCTTACTAGTCATAGAATGCTGTTTTTCTTGAAAATGGAGTGAGAAGAGACACTCAGCTGATCCTCCACCTCCCCACCTGATCCCCAAACTTGAATATGTCTAAGCACTCCCTGGGTTTCCCCCGATGTCTGCTTTACAGCATAATTTCAGAAAAACTAAGGAACACAAATTCCAGTGGGATGGTAAATATGGGGTAAAGACTTCCTGTTTTCTTAGGTTACTTACTGCAAGAAATGCCCTGTCCCGTTCCACCAAGTCTGCAAGCTTGTCCAACAGACGTCCTCTTTCTGAAGCATCCATCCTTCTCCACACAGAACCAAGAGAGAATGCCAGGCGGGCTGCCTGCACTGCTTTGTCTATATCTGCCTGTTAGARAGGAAGGGGCACAGCTGAAGAGAAAAACATTGCAAATAAAAGATAAACCATCATCGTTCATGGAAAAAGTGATTCCTGATGGCATCTGGACAGGATATGCTTACTACTCTGTCTTTTGACAGTGGCTACTGCATAGGGAATCTTTTTTTAAGAAAGACATACCTTATCTGCTTCTTGAACTTCACATATTTGTTCTCCTGTGGCTGGATTATAGACAGGAAACACTCTTCCACTCTCTGAGTTCTGCCACTCATTGTTAATAAAGATCTAAAAGAGGAGACACAGAATGGGATTTGTGACATGGGTGATCAGAAATCAGGTAATGACCAAGAAGTATGGAAATACCATGGCAATAATACTAGTTCTATATTCTTGTTGGTGTATAGTAGAAGTGTGGAATTTGAAGTGCTACAAGACACCCTAAACAGTATCCAATCTAGCCCCACCCCTAATTCAGAAATTTCTTCTATGATATTTTTGCTTCAATGTCATCCAAAGACTAAATACATTTCTTACCTTTAGAGAACATGTCCACTAATGAGAGACAAATAAGCTTAAGGAAGGCAAGAGTCCCATGTACACATAAACCACACATTAAGAGGTTAAGAAAATAGTCATTGATAGTCCAAGCTCTGTAGATCAAAGCAACAGTCATCGTGCCTTAGATCCCAGTTTCTCTGTCAGAAGGCAGTGACTTTTAAGGAAACCTGAATGGTGCTGTAATAAGAATGCACCTAATGCTTGGATCTTGAAGTGAGCAGTGACTCTGGCCAAACTAACTAGTGAGTTAAACAAATTACACATATAAACCCAAGTGGGATTTCTTTCTCTTCAAGTGTAGGCTACATGGGTTAGCAAAGGAAAACTTTCAAATAGGTCTTTCTCAGATTTCTCAAGAAGAGTGATTTTCTTATTTATGAAATGGAGATTCACATTCATAAATATTCAATGGTGAAGAGGTTAATGATTTAGGAATTTACTTGAGCCAATTTCTCATAAAAATTTAACAAATGCATTAAAGTACAAGGGAAAAGTTGGGCAAAGAAATTTTTGAAGATTTTTATTGATTCTGAGAGAAATCTAAACTAATATTTTTGGACTATGAAAACACAACATCTAAAGACATTTTACTTAATAAAAGTTATACCACCAAAATGAAAATTTCTAAACTTATGAACCAGTCAGCCAACTAATTTAGGACAAACAAAATGACAATTTGAATTATTATTGACTGCCAATTTTCTTTTTGATTTTACTAATCACAAATGAGGCTTAATAAGCATAAATCTACACTTCTAAATACCAAATTATAGAAAACATYCCAAGGTTTTCTTTTCACATTTTCCCCTCAATTTGATACAACAATGAGCCAATGTGGAAGGAGGCACTAAAGTTTTCTTTTTCTAAAGGTTTTTTAAGATAAAGGGAAATAAAATAACTTAAATTTGCATAGTACTTAATACAAACATATTGAGCACAAATACAATAGCCTTGTCATTGTGTAACATTTTATAGTTTATACAGATTATAAACATGCTTAATATGACACCTTCATTTACTCAATAGATACTCAGGTATTTCTAGACAAAGGAAAGGCAAAGATAATTAAGATAGTTTCAGTCTTCCCAGGTCTTACATTCTTTACTATTTCATTAAATAGAGTTCTGTGTATCTCAGGATATAATGGTTAATTTTCCTAGTATGCAAAATGTTAAGATTTCTTCACTGTTATTATTTTTGGTAGATCCAACCACATCATACTAAAAAAAAAAACTGTGCTGACAACATTGTTAGTATAGATAATAAATATGTCCACTTGAACATTTTCAACTTCTCTGGGCAATTTAAAAAATTTTTAGTTCTGTCATTTTTCTCTGACCAGGCCTCCATGGAGAAAGGTTTATTTCAAGGAAGTTAGCAGGGAAAAGTACAAAATTAGGCCTGGAACACTATGATCCAGGAAATTGAGTTAATGACCAAAAGTGTATGGGGACATAATAAAAGGAAACAGGAATCAATATGAAGAGGTTCCTCAATGGCTAATACTAAGATAATTTAAACCAAAATAAATAATTATAGCAATGGATGCTTACCCATAGAATAACAAGGTGTCTGAGTTCATAATGATATAATTTTTAAATGTATAACTAAACAAATAGGGATAAGAAATAGCTCTTCATAGCAAAACTCCACTTAACAGATACGAAAGAATAATGGAATTTGATGTTCACCGTTTGTCAAACACCACAATAATAATTGCTATAGGCAAAAATCATCAGTGGATGGCAAAATTAGTGGGAAAAAGTATAATGAAAAACTGGATGTTCATGTAATATCTTAAATAATTTCCCTCAAGATATTCACTAATCACAAATGAAAAAACATAGTAACTTTACATTAGAAAAATTTGGCTGACATCACCTTAATCAAGTGATCAAAGTTGACATCATTAATAATAAGAAAAATTGACATCATGTGCTCCTGATATGATACACCAAGAAAGACATCCATCACTTCTGTGGTATTCTTACACAAAAGGCATAACTCATTTTAATCAAGAGGAAACATCAGTCAAATCCAAATTRAAGTATATCCTACAAAATAACTGGCCCATATTCTAAAAGTGCCAAGGTCATGAAAGATAACCTTTTAAAACTGTTCCAAATTAAAGGATGTTTGTGAGACATAAACCATGTAGCCTTGTATTAGCTCCTGGACCAGAAAAAAATAAAAGATATTATTGAGACAATTGGTAAAATTTGAATAAGGTCTTTAGGTTAGAGAATAATATTGTACCAATGTTACTTCCTGATTTTTATGTCATACTATAGTTATATAAGGGTACTGGGGTGAAAGGTATTTGAGATTTCTTTGTTCTATTTTTTGCAAATTTTTTGTGAATCTTAAATTATTTCAAAAATGAAAGTAAAAATAAGAATTTATAAAAACTAGTGTCATCTTTTTATGTCTTTCACACAATAAAGGCCCCAAACAAATTTGTTAAATGAAAAAATGAGGATCAATACTTTTTTTCTGTACAAAAATTCTTTTACACGGATTTGTGTAAAATGAAATAAACAGTTCAAGATCTACCTTAAAATATGGCCCAATGCTATCAAATCATTCRTTTAAAAATTTACCTATTATTTCAACTTAAAGGCTTAGTAAAATCAGTATGAAAAATGAAAAATCTGCTTTTCAGCTTGTCGAACTTCAGAAAAGGCATAAGGAAAAACATGGACTTTTCTACTCTAGAGCTCTTTGAAAGTACATAAGACTTGTGACCCTAGGTCGGACTGTTGGTCAGTTTCTTCATTTGTAAAATATATAAGTATTCACTTATAATATTGTATGATTTTGTAATGCTATAATTCAGAGCAAAAGAAACACATGGCTCAYGAAAGAAGGAACCTGTCTACTCTAGATTTCTGAGAGGATAGAACAAATTAGCCCATAAACCTAACTTTCTTTCCATGGTTGTGAAGAACTGTCCATTGACATTTTATGGGTTGTTGTCGGTATTAAAAGACATAATGGATGTGGTAGGCACTTAATGTTAACTGCAATGGAATGTCTGCTGGGAGAGGACATGAATCACTGTCTAACATCTTTCCTGATAAGATTAGAAATTCAATACCTCCTGGGCCAAGATAAAATCTGAAACACTGAAGAATAAAGACTACATTTGGGTAACAAATATTTCTTAAATTATGTTGTATTTAATATATACAAAAGGATGTATGTAACATAAATGTTAAGATTCATCATATTAAAACCCCATGAGCACACCATTCAAGTTAGTAGCATAACTGTAGTTACTTGTGTATTCCTCCTGATACTTTCTTCCAGCTTGATCTACACTGTTACTTGAGGTACCCACTAGACTGGATTCTTCATTTATTTATTCTTCAATATTTCCTTTTTCTTGCCCAAATGTACTAATTATTAGGAGCAGTTTTCACAGGTACCTATTTTTATCAATCTTGTAAAATATACTGTTCAGTCATCTTGATTTTTAAATATTTTATCTGTTTTGTTCTATGATAATTGAAAGCTATATTGGAATTTCTCATTTTGATTTGGTGGATTTGTCAGCATAAACCTTAGCTCCAATGTTTTATCTTTATAAAAGTCAAGCAATTTTATTAAGGAATATGTTTGTAACTATTAGATTTTTCTGGTAAACTATTTATCCATATAATATTACCCTCTTTATTACAGCCTATTTTGTTTAATATAGACTGAACATTCTTAATCTGAAAATTCAAAGTCTAAAATGTTTGGAAATCTAAAACTTACTGAATGCTGACATGAATGCTCAAAAAGTTTCAGATTCTAGAGCATTTCAGATTTCAGATTTTTGGATTAGAAAAATCAACTAGTAAAGTTTATAAAATATTTCAAAATCTCAAAAACTCTGAAATCTGCAATAAGGAATACCTGCATTAGCTATTAACCTGTATTAGCTTTAGCTATCTAAGTTTTTCCTAAGCCTTATGTATCATTCCCCATCCTTTTGCTCTCAACTGTGTCTTTACTATTTTGATGTAAATAATGCAGCCTTAGATTGTATTTTATTAATAACAAAAAATGTCTGTTAACTAGTGAGTATAACACATTTGCATTTATTATGATTATGATATGTGTTATTTTTGGAAATGATGCTATGTGCCCTGCCTCATTTTACTTTCTATTTTCTCCTTTCTTGCTTCTTTTTGTTAAGGTAGGTTGTTGGTGTTTATTTTGTAATTTAATTATTCCCTTGGAAGTTGTATACTGTTAACATTCTTTAAGTGTTTTTCCATAGTATTTTATCATACATGTTTAACAACCTGAAGTCTAAAGGTAATCAATAACTTAACTCTGATCCCAAACAACACAATGGCCTCAGAACRCTAAATCCAATCACTCTTCTCTGAGAAATCTGTTTGTACTAAAGTTTTATTTTATATATAAAATGACTTCTTATTTTAAAAAAGGTTTTTAAATTTTTATTCAGATTAATCCTTAGAATCTCATTTGATAATTTGGGGTAATGTATMAATTCTTGTTTTTCTGACCATGTATTTAATTGCACCCTCATTCTCAAAAGATATTCCAGATAAGTTACATAGTTTTAGGTAGTCAGTAATTTTTTCACAACACTTTATAGCTATGATTCCAATATTTTCTATCTTGCAGTGATGCTTATAATAAATCTGCCAGAAGCTTCTAATCATTTATTTGTTGATGACTTAGTGATTTGCTTTTCTATCTTTTGCCTTTCA